GGTTCTTGTCAAGCCATTAACCAGATCTTACTTTACGTAATCCACTCTCAACAGTCATCAAAAGATAGAAAAGTGGCTGGTGGAGGTCACGGAACGACGGTCCCCGATTCTGGCTCAACTCAGGCACTATCCACTCGCCCATTCACGAAGCTTCTTCGACTTCCCGATGTCTTGCATGTGGGTAAAAATAGACTCGCTTCAAAAACATAATCTCGAGGAAAGGTTTTTCTGAGTTGTACGCGAACTCTCTTCCCAGAATATGTCCTTCTGAGCTGTACTCAACCTCATCATCCAATGTCCGCCCACTATGCCTGACATTTCCGAGGCTCTCAACGCCGGTACAAAATTTCTTGAGCCACCACTGCGCAAGTCGCTCAATTGTCGTTACAGGGCCAAACCCTCCACTAATCAATATATCGATATAGTAAGCCGCTTCCGCACCTTTCTTGCCTAATTTGTATGGGAGTAGAAAGATTTGCCGGTCGCCTTCAGATTAGTTTCTATCGCCCAAAAAACTAGAAGTCACTTTAATAAAAATTCGTTATAGCTATTGGACTGAGTGAGCAATGCACTCCAAAATAACAGTAATAAAATCGTAGAACATGATAGCATCCTCATAAAAAGCAAAATAGAAACAGCACTTGAAAATGGGTCACCAAAGACCTCGAGGGCTTTCTTCACGACCTAATATATTTTCCCTCTCAATGTTATTTGTTGCGCTGTATTGTAAAATCTAATTCGCGCTTTCCGCTTCCCTCAGCTTCTAATCCCACACTGTTCTGATGCTCGTGAAACAAAAAATTCACAAGATTTCACCATGGCGTAGATTTATCCGGAATCGTGTGCCGGAAATTTGGATAACCCAAACACGCAAATTTCACTTCTTTGAGATTTACGTTTATAAAAGTCTGACAGGCTGTTCAAGGAAACTTAGTAGATGGCTATCGCATGAAAGAAAGCGCCACTCGTGAACAAGCACACTGAAACTGATTACTTATTTATTCAACTTGTTGGTCGGAAAATGAATAAAATTATTTCTGCATGACTTCTGATTGAAAAACGTCCTATATTTCCACCATAGACCAATCGTAGTTAAAAGAATGAAAAAGAGCCTCACCCTATCAGCGATCTATTCGAAGAGCTAGGTGAATGGCAGAATTCAACACATGATGAAGAGTCTCCTAAGGATCTCCCTACCCACGTGGAGTTAAGGCGATCTGAGAACATTCGTGGACTCTAAAAAGATTCAAGTGAATGAAACTTTCGAAAATTTCAAAAAAAAGTAATTCGGGACAAGAAAAAACTGACTTCTTCGTCAAGCATGCTATTTGTAAACTGTTCTTTTCTGGACCGTTTAGGATTGTCGCGATTCAAATAGAGGTCCATAGCAGTTGCAGGGCGTTGGTCATGTACAAGTGGTCGCTTGCGCTGAAAACGTGAACAGTTCGAATGATCAAGCCTTCAAGGAACAACACAACTAGCAAAGCAAAAATAGTGGCCTGTCTGTTTTAGGAATTACCGGTGCTGTTGATGTATCAACGAAAATGTCTTCAGCAGGGAGTGGTCTGGATACACCAGGTTTGGAAACACCACGTTCTAACACAGATGGACTCAAGTATCGTAAACTTCGTGATGACTGCAGTCCCGACTCAAATGTTGACGTCAAGGTAGAGCCTCCTAAAATCCAAAACTGAGTGTCCACCAATGCAAAAATTATAATAGATCACAGTTCACCGTTCACTGGGACGAACTTCCGAGTCGGGCTAAGTCGATTGCTGCTTGTTGGTGAAATTCGACCACTTAGATTAGGTTGATCTGATAGAGGATCATTGGATTGTTCTCCTGCAGAATAAAGCGAATAAAGCAAATTGCAATACGATTTTCACATTAACTATATCAGCCAACAAAACCCCCAACAGAAAAAGTAAAATCTAAAAAAAGAACGCACCACCAGAAAAGAGTTTAGTTACAGCCGAAAGCCAACCTTCCTTTCCAGAAGACATGGCAAAAAAACGCTTATAAGTTATACAGTCTGACAGATTACAAAACACCTGTAAAACAAAACATTATCGTAAACTCCCACACGAAAACGACCACTACAAAGGGCGAGAAATTCATACGAACGAAACTGTGCAGAAAGAGCAAGCATTAGTAATCTAGTAGGAATCTAGTAGGTTTAGTAATCCCCTGAAATGAAATAACCTTCACAGACGCACTGTAGACACATTGAACAGAAATATAACATCCCCAAGAAAGGATGAAAATGCAGCAGAA